TGAACAGATAACCGTGCCGAGAGAGACTAACAAATAACAATTAGGTCGGAGTGGCCGTTCTTAAAGAATTATGAACATTTTTAATTATTTTCATTAAGACTAAAATTACAATGCGGACTCGAAATCCGAGTGACAAGAATCAACAACAACAACATCGAGTTGTCAACTAAAATTTTTCGACGCATTTCTTCGTGAGTCGAGAGTTATGAACACCCAGTACGTTTTCTATATTTACATTTTTTCCCCCAACACCCGGACTACTTTCGGACATTTTTGAGATAGTCTTTAATCTACTAGAGTTTAATTTTGGTTATTTGAGGCACTTGTCTCTCGGTAGGACGCAATCAAATGCACTGGTAGTCACTAATTACAGGGGTCAATCATCGCATTACTGAACGCCAGTTATTCCAGTCTCTTGACTATAATAAATATCACAGCGGTAAGTTGCGCTAATCAAATATTTCAAGTCGTTTTTGAAATTAACTGTCTGTTTAAAAGGTTCAACTATTTGATTTAGTTGATGAATTGTCTGCCCTCTCCATGCCGATCCTAATGAAATGCATTTTTCTCGAAATTGTTTTGCAAGTTGTCTTGTCTCGTGTTATAATCGGCGTGTTGCCATCAATAAAACCCAACCACCACAAGTAGTGTATATATCGAACGTGACAGTATCTCTCTATTCAGGAGAATGTGACCTGTAAATCGGTAAAGTTAATAACATTTTTTATTCCAGTGCATTAACTTTAAATATGAAAATACATGACACTCTTTGAATCCACGTACATACATACTCCGGCGAGTTTCCATCGAAAATGACAGGATCATATTATAATATATATAATTCAATATTGCAGTATAAATTCGAGTATTTCACTAATGTGTATCATATTAAATTGAGATATAAAGAATAATGTGGGATGGTATCGCTCACGATGTCACTCATTCTGTCAAGAGTACTTGTTATTAAGTCGTTAAACATAGTTAACATTTTTCTCGTAAATGAAATAGTAGGAGGGGCAGAAATTAGACACAATATACATAATGATAATACAGCATGTTATTCTAGTCGACAATTTTAATAATAATGCTCGACATGATATAGTAGGAAGAACATAGTATCTGCCAAGAATATTTACCTCATACACAGCCACGAATATCTACGATTGGTAACCATGGTACATCTCATCCACTCAAATCATCATAATATGCGTGTGTTTTGTCTCATGAAATTTTGTGTATCGCACAACACGGTCTGGGCAATTTTAAAGACATTATTGAGAATGGATATAAATGTTAAGACAACGTTTTAAATAAGGAAATATGGCAATCAAATGTTAAAAATTACCGTTTTTTTTAATCTCAGAAATTGACCGTTCACGTGTCTACCTGTCATTGTCTTGTGTATTTTGAAAAAAACCCTGTTTGTAATGGGTTTACTACAAGGATAATTTGAACTAGTTAAGTTGATGATAATATAATATGTAATAATGATAATTATAAATTTCTGTTGCCATGACAATCATTTTGTATATACACCGGTATGCTACAATCATGTTCACCAGTGCCTATGATGTCATATTTACCCACAATACTTTGTTGGAGAATCAAGATGGTGGATTACACAACTTGGGCTGAAGAAAAGTTACATAAATACATGTACTTTAAAAATCTGTAAATTGCATTCGCCAGTATTTTTTTTTTGAGCTATTTCATTTAGGATTAGTATGTCGTTAACCTAGACTGACAGTTTAAACATAATTATCTAAGTAAAAACTGAAATTCATAGTATTTCGGTGTGCTGGAACCAGTTTCTTGGTGTTCTGTCTACCAGCAACACAGTCACCATAACGACGCTCATTTGAAGTATTGCGGTTAGTACATTTAAGGTAGTTGGATACCGTTCAAACATATAGCCAGATTTCTTTACGTTTACAATATGGCTTTATGTTATGTTGTTGCACATGAAATCAAAATGAATAAGTAAGGCCCTGAACTAATACCGCACAAAGAAAAAATTCTCAAACACCCTAACATTTTTTTGTGTCATCACTATTGCTTCCAATGGTGAACATTTTTGTCATATTTCATACCTATCGTGTGGTTATAAAATGTTGGGTACTTGTGATTATGAATTATTGGGAAATTTTGACGAATAATATTTATTTTCATAGCTGCAAAAAGGCACATTTTTTCATTTTTGAGTAGTTTTTCTAAAACCAATTACTTCATACCGCGTAAATAAAAGATCAAAGTCGATGTTTTGACTCACGATTTCACTTTCAAAACAAATAAACGTGATAACGTTTTGCAAATAGGATACAAATTTACACGTGGATACAAGACATAGAATGCGGTTCACTGTTAAGAGCATAGGGGCATTCACATGGCAAATTTTATGTTTATTGCGAAAAGGATAGATACAAAAAAAAGTCGGTAAAAAATAATAATACAAAGGGTGCCTTGACAATTGCGTTAACTGGATCGAACACGCGCTGCAGTAAGTCTCTACGCAACATTTTAAATGTACAACGATTTATTTGCAATGATAAATAAATGTGTGCCATACCTGGACTCGTGCTTCCGTGAGATCACACCTCAGAGCTAACTGTTCTCTGCTGTATACGTCGGGATAATGGGTACGTTGGAACACCTTTTCCATCTCGTCTAATTGGAAACTGGTAAATGTTGTACGGTTTCTGCGCTTCTTTCTTTTACTGCTATCAGACGTGTCGCTTTGTTCTGTGCCTTCTTTATTTTCGTCTTGATCAGATATTAGATCCCCTTTCGAGTCAACTTCATCCTGCTCCAGTTTATCTTCTTCCGTATTGCTATTGTTATTTTTGTCCTCATTGCTCATAATCTCTTCTTTTGTTTCCGACATGTTCATTTCCTCCTTTTCACGACCCACTGATTAATAAATAAAAAAATAAATAAAAAAAATAATATATATGAGGATGCTAATTGATTAAAACGTCGTCATGGATACGGTTATTGTTTAATTAAATATTACTGTACAAGTTTATGTAACGGGCACGAGCTATTATAAGCTTGGTTTAAACAGATGTTTAAATTAAAACGAGGAATTGTTTATATAGATACGGCTACGGAGCGGTTATTCTATCATCAATAAACAGATGTTTAAACGCGCACATTCACCATGACTTCAAAAACTCCGTACAAGTGGTTGTAATTTACAAATAAAACACTTGATCAGAGTTGACTGTATGATGCGATCGCAAGCATCCCAGTAACAGTACGGTTAAACACAGAGTCATTCGGGG